AGCTCGCGCCTCGGACGGACAGCCCCTCCCGTGTCCGTCTGTCCTTCCTCCGCGGCGGCTCCGAGTCGGCGGGCGAGGCTAGGATGCCCGGGGAGGATCCGGCATCCCGGCGCCCTGATAGATCCCGGCGTGGTTTTAATGTTATTTTTGAAGGGCCAACCGCTTGACTAAATCTGCGAAAATGCCCAAAGTAGAATCTTGAAATGACATTGTCCTTTCGCTAATGCCTATTTTGTTTTCTTGCTGATTTTTATTCTCTAACACTTTTTTCCTTCGATTAGTGGCATTTTTTTAAAAATCCTGGTTCTCCTTTCTTCTCTGTGTCATCTTCCAACATGTGCTCTCTCGTTCTTCAACCTTAGTTTTATCTCTAAGTCAGAATCGTCAACAAGCCAGTCATCTAATAGGTATCCCCCACTTAAAAAAATTTTTTCCCCCAGATATTCATGTCTGTTAGATACCGTTTTTTTGGTTCATATAGACCCAGGCTGGAAAACACGACCACTATCTGTTCTGGGAGGGTTTAGTTACTGTGAATCTTGAGCAAGTTTTTTTTGTTTGTTTGTATGTTTTTTGCCATTCTGAGCCTTCATTTACTTTCGTCTTAAGTGGAAGTGATACCCAACCCCTAGGCTTGTTATGAGGATTGAGATAATTGGGAAAAGTACAGAGTGGATCTGACCCAGACACGCAGTAAGTGCACAGTAAATAGCAGTTCATTTTCTCCCTGGTTTCCACACCACCTTGTTGTCACCTGTAATTTTCTTCTACTCATTCTACCAAATCACTTGACATAAAGTATTTACACTTTCTTTGAGCAGCTTTTATCTCCCCTTGGGTTTTGTTAGGGACTTTTTCAAGGCAAGTGAATGGAAATAACTGAAGACCTACGGTTATGGCGGATTGGAGTGTTTATCCTGTTTGCACACTTAAAGTTTCTCTGATTTTTGTTTCTTTGTGGGTTCGCTGTCTCACCTGTGCACCCAATAGTCCCTGTCTTTTGTTTTATGTAAGAAATTTGTGAATTTTCTATGCTGTTACGTTTGAAAGATGGTAAAACTATTATCTTTACTTCCAGAAAAAATGTAGAAGACTTCACTGGACCTAGAGAAAGAAGTGATCTGGGATTCATTACATTTGATATAACTGCTGATATCCTTTTAAGAAAATTTCTCATTGCCTTTTCTCTAGTTTTATGATGATACACATGCTGTTTAGTGATTTGGGGGACGGTAACTATGTTTACCCATGGAATCAGCCAAACATTGGAAATTTGTATACCTGTGTTTTCTTCAGTATAATCGTGTTAATAAGGCCTCATTCACACCCTGAGAAAGCTTATTTCCAGATTCATGAGTTACTGTTGTGTGAACACACTTTAAATTCTTCACAGAAACATTAAATAGATCTAAGCTACAGGAGTTTGAATCTGTATTTTGGAAAGAAAATAAAATTAGATCATGTAGATTAAAGAAGGAGGAATGTTACCAGTACTCAGCCTACCTGGATGTAATATTTCATGTACAGTCCCAAAGAGTGTGTCCATATTTTGTGATAGTGTAGAGAAGCATGTGTTAAAAAATGTTGACTGCATGTGCTGTGGTTCAGAAGGTCATTATCAAATGATTAATGGTAAAGCTTATTAGCATTTTGCCATTATAGTTCTTTTTATAAGTACTTTTATAATACGAGTCAGAGAAATCTTAACAATTAAGAGTTACTTTAAATGTAGGTGATTTAAATATTTTCTCTGTATTTGGAATTTTCACCTTTTGACCACTCTGATCATTTAGGCCGGTTTAATCTCCTTTTAGGGCCTTAGATTACTATCTTGGCAGCGTTGTTCCTGCCACTTCTGGGATCTCACCTGACCAGACCCTAGGATTAGAACTGGTTATGGAGAGTGAACTGTCTGAACTTGTGTAAAGCAGCTGTCTGAACAGTGGAAGTAGGTTATGTACCTGGGGAGTTTACCTCACATGCCTCTTTGCTACCTGGAATTAGCTTTTAACTTGACTTTTTAGAAATAAATGACTGGGTTTAGAAGTAGACTAGGAATTAGTTCTCTTATAGGCACTTTTTTAGGAAGTAAAGTACACCAGCAGAAAAATCCTTTGTTAAACTTCTGCTTTTAAGTCTTTGTCTGTTTTTTTTTTTTTTAAACCTTTGAGAAGGAGTTTGGATCTAGTGTAAAAATACGAACTTTTTGTATCTGGGCAATTAGAGTGAAATTTCCTGATATCTCAACTATTCTGTATTTTCCATCTCATCATTGGTATAGTCAGATTTCCATATAACTGCTGCAATAACTTGAAATCGTACCTGTTCTTAAAGAGAGACCCAAGACTTCTGAATTTTGTAGGGATTTTTAGTGGATACACACATCTAAAAGCAGAGTGTCATGAACATGTCACTGTTAGTATCTAAATGCATGTAATACAGTGACTTAACTATTTGCATATGATACTTAATGAAATCCAAACATTAACTCAGTTCATTTCTCAGTGACATCAGTCTAATAATTAATCCTGGGGAGTTTTTTCCACTCTGGTAAGCTGCATCCTCTTACTATATAGCATTTCATGGATTGAGACGTTTTGATCTCTAATCTCTACTGGCATGTGTACAAAAGCAACATGGTGGACAATTTACTGTACTTGAGCCTAGCTCACTTTTGTGTAACAAGTTGTACTGCGATGATTGCTTATACTTTAGAACTCCAGTGGAGTCATATAGTCTTGAAATATTAAATCCTGTTTCTTTTAGACAGTCGGCTGACTTTACAGAAAACTAAGTTTTGTATTTCTCGGTTATTTTCTTACTAATCAAAGTATCTCAGGTAGTGATGCTTAGAGGAGCAGGGGAGGATGCTGATAATCTCATTGATAATTTTTGATTTTGGAATGAGCAATATACTATCTTTTATATATTTTTATTAAATTAGTGGCCTTGTATGTTTCTGGCCACCTCTCTTTTTTTTTCAATTTTAATTTTAGTATCAGTATTGCTGTGAATAGTTAATTTAAGAATAACTAAAATCTGTTTTAAAGTTACATGCTGCGTTATGATTTTATATTCCTTGATTTATTTACATCTAGAAAATATATTTGATTGGAATGTTAAGCAGTTGTTTCTTTATTTATCAGCAGAATATTCAACAAAAAATAATGTAAGTATATATGTAGAAGTATTTTAGTAGACATTGAAAACCTCATTCTTCAGGAATATATAACTTTTATATATTCAAAATATCTGACCTGAGTAATTTAGTAAAAATCACAAGCTCATGGAGAGGTGACTGTACTAAGAAAACGTGATCTCCTTTGGTAGATTCTGTCTGTTGCCTTTCTGTTTCTGCAGTGCCCAGGACTGTGGTTCCCAAGAAAGGGGTGCGAGCAAGGTAGTCCATAGGTATATAAGGAAAACGATTAAGAGCTACTGTTTCTTTTCTCATGGATCTAAGAAGAGTTGCTAGTTTTTCAGTTTGTTCAGCTTTTTATAAGATGTTAGGATGGAGTGGCAGCCTCCAAGCTCCTCGTGCATCACACTGGAAACCAAAATTTGATTCATGTATTTCTCAATTTAAAATAAAAGGAAAAGACGTTAAACTTTACTGATACTAGCTGTATGGACAGACACTGAGATTATCACATGCGTCCTGAAACAGGCAAATACCCTGGAGGAAGAAGAGGAATTCTGAAGGGCAAGAGGTCAGCCCTGCTACGCACGTTTATTCATTCACTTTCAGCATTTTGCAAAGTTTAGCTGTATGTACCCAGTTGAGTAGATTATATTATCTAGTTTTAAATAAACTAATTGTCACAAATGGAAAAGTGGCTTAAAAAGATTCCTGCAAGAAATCACCGGTTGAAGAGGTGTAAGTCGTGGGAGAACGGCTGAGCTGGGCTGTCTGCTCCTCTTTGGAGCGGCTCGGCCACACTGAAGGCTTAAGGAAACAGAGAGAGCTTGTAAAGGGTTGTCTGAGAGAACTTCAGCATTAGCCAGGAAGGCTGTTTGAAATGCACCTTTACATTCACAATCAATAATGTCACCTAATGATAATAGTGATGTGTCTCATGAACATAATTTGTAAAAAAAAAAAAAAAAAGATGCAGAGTTTGGGGTTGGTGTTCAAAACAACCTGTGCTCAAACACCTTTGGAGACAATTACCAGCGAGAAGATAGAAGGGGGAGAGGCAGAATTGCTCCTCAGCTGTAGTCCTCTTTCATCTAAAATAGTTTCTTTCCACAGCTACCATTAGAGAGCTAGACGGCAAGATACTTGAATCGGCAAAATTGTGACCTGTGCTTAGAACTGTCATTACCCAGTCATGTAATCAGAAGCTGTAAAGATGGCTAATTTGTGAATCATCTCTTAGATTATTTTAAAATCCGTCTAAATATTTATATTTTTCCTTTTTAAATACATGTTGTGAGCTGTTTTGATAGTCTTTTATTAAGCCATATATCTATGATTAATTTCTCTTGAGAAATATATTACTTCGTGTTGAGTTGGACAGGATTCACCAACCTGAATTCTTAAGGTAGTCTCTTTAATCATGTTAGAATTTATCAGATGTTTTATAATTAAAAGCTATTAAACGACTAAATTAAAACCTATTTTAACAATATTAAAACTTAGTTTGTGATTGAAATGTATTAGCCCAGTCTGATTTAGAGCTTTTGTTGCAGACAGAGTAAGGGTTGAGAGATTTATATAGCATATTGTTAAAACAGAAATCTTATTAGGTCGTAAAAGTGTAAAGTGAATATTCTGATACATGAATTAAACTCTGAAGGTGAAATCTGTGGAATTAAAATGTGCTTCTATGTTGTCTTCACCTGAGTTACCATTACGTCTTGCTATAAGGCCCAGCCTAGAGATAATTCGTAGTTAGAGATGAGTCTACTTCCACATTTTATTTGAACTGTATTCATTTTCAGGGGATGACAAATTAATCAGTTTTATCTGTTGATTGGTTTGATTAGTTAACTAGGATTTTTTGCACTTCAATTCATTGTAGATATATTTTGAGCATACCTTATATGGAAGATATTTTGTTAGGCACTATAAATATGAGGTTGAAAAGTTTTGATCCCTGCCCTTAAGAATCGAGAAAGTGTTAAACAGTTAGAAAAAGCTGTTCTGAAGAGTAACAACTGTAAACACAAGTATTATTCCAAAAGTCTCAGCAAATGATCCAAATAAATATGTCACCTTGGTGACGAGTATACCTAAGTCATATTCATAATTCTGGCTTATTCCAGCATGACTAGTAAGTTAAAACAGTTTGAAATTTGGCAGATTACTGCTTTGGTGAATGAATAAATATACATAAAAAGCCATTTTGCTTTGGCACATCTTAGACTGTGTTCTTCAGCCTTGATGTTTCTGTTTAATGTAAGAGGCTTTCAGGTGAGGACCTGAACCCCGTTTTAGAAATTGACGACTGCTCCACATTCTGTTTTGGTTAATGTAGTCACCACCACTGGGCAGTTGGCCTCACAAGCCAGTGGATAATAGCTTAATAAGAACACATTTCTTGGGATTTAGCAATGGTTACAAATGTGTTTTTTCTCCGTTTCATGTCTCTAATTTCCCAAACAATTTATAATATATCAAAACAGTGGCTTAAAAGAATTGTCTGATTTCTAGGATTTTGCCATAGTAAAACAATAGTGTGCCTGTGTTTTCTTAATTTAAAGGAGAATATATTAAAGATGTTTCGTTTCTTTAGTGATTCCTTGATAACTTAAAACCCTTGGAGATACGTACGTTTTCACGAGAGACTCTGGTAGTCTGTGATCTACAGGCATTAGTTCTGTGTCCCTGGCACCTTGCAGAGCCCACGTTGAGTTGGAGGGTCTCAGAAATTTTATAGGGAGAAATGGCTTAAAAGAATGCTTCCCTTCCAGGGATGCTAATCCTGTCTGTGTCTCCTAGCGCATCACTGGAGAGCATGGAAGTCGAAAACCTTGTGTAAGCCTTGAGGGCATTAGCAAGAGGGGTGACTTCCTTCGGGGGGGTCTTCCTTTTGTATGAGAAGAGTTGGATTCCTTGGTATGTCTGTCCACTTGTGATCATTTTGTCTGCTTTAAGATGTTTAGCAGTTCCCACAAAGTTGGATTCATTCATATGGATTAAACGATTTGCTTACCAATATTTCTGAAGTAACAGACGCTATTTCTGATGAGTTATCTAATTAATTTTCATTTTAACGTAGGCTCTGAACCAAGTTGTCCTTTGGGACAAGATTGTTCTGCGAGGTGATAATCCGAAGCTGCTGTTGAAAGATATGAAAACAAAGTATTTTTTCTTTGACGATGGAAATGGTCTCAAGTGAGCAATTCTTTGTCATTTTTCACATGTGATGATATGTGAAGGGGGAGAGAAAGATGTGATGTGTTTTTATTTTAAAGAAAATATTAGAGGGTAAAAAGAGGAAAGTTGAGAGAGATGAGAAGTATTTATACCCGTCTGAATGGAAAGACTGTGTGGAAATCCTGGCTCTGATATACACATCAGTTCTCTGCATTATGGGGGATGTGGCAGACTAGGGGAGCCTGCAGCATGGATGCTCAGGCCACGGGAGCAGGACCATGAGCACCACAAGGCTCCTTCTGGGATGTCAGAGGAACCTTAATGAGGAAGCAGCATGGTTCGTGGTCTGGAGTTGATTCTGAGGTTTCCAGTTTTGGTTCACTTAACATCTCTGAACCTCAGTTTCCCTTTATACAAAATGAATGAATTGGAATGATCTTTTGAGTCAGTTGTAGCTCTTAAGCTTTGTGAGTAAACATTGGAAAGAATTTTAGGGAGAGCTATTTTAACCAAACCTGTTTTGCAGATGAAATGTCTCCAGCCATGAGAGATTTTGATGTGTTCAAGTTAGCTCATCTGGATAATGATAGAGTTAGGTTTCAAATCATTGTCTTCTGATACCTAGCTCAGATCTCTTTTTATACTCTCTGTGTTTTACTCATTTAAGCTTTTTGGTTGACCACTGGAATAACCGTGACTGTATGAGTTAGGTCCTTGTGGGACACAGGCAGTGAGAAGCCTGCAGTTTCCCAGCATTGTCTTGGATTTCAAAAGACCTGACAAAACTTGTTTGTAGATCAGAATTCCAGTTAGGAACAGCTCGCTAAAAATAAACTATTTGATTCCTCAGTGCTTGAATTAAAACGTTTTTATTGAACTACAAATGTTCCTGCTGACATCTGTTTATTATATCTTTTTATAGGGGAAACAGGAATGTCACTTTAACCCTATCCTGGAATGTTGTACCAAATGCTGGAATCCTACCTCTTGTGACAGGATCAGGACATGTATCTGTCCCGTTTCCAGATACATATGAAATAACGAAGAGTTATTAAATTATTCTGAATTTGAAACAGCATATTTTTATACCTAATGAATCCTATCTCATTTATCTCTTCCCTTGCATCTTCATTTGTTTGGGGTTGGTACTTTTTTGGGGGGAGGGGGTAAGAATGAATGTCAAAAGGTGTATTTGAAGGGAAAGGTTAATGTGCAACTTAAACTTAATTTTAAAAACAAAAACAAAGGCCACCAGAGTGAAGTATTACAGGAATAAGACAACCACATAATAAGGACGTGTAAAATATTGATGTTTGAAGTGTTCCCTGTATTTCCATGATTCCTTATGGAATATGAAGTGAGCATGAAGGGTACTTACAGCTTTCAGGTGCCTGTGGAGTTGTAAGAACTCTGATTATGCCTTGCATTTATGCAAGTTCACATTGGATGTGATTTAGAAGCATTCTCTTTTATCTCTTTTTGGGTATATCTGAATACTGGAAAAATTAAGACAGTTGGTGAGAAGCCTGGTCTACAAAGTAGCCAAAAGTGATGGAATTTTATTCCATTTGTCTTAGAAATGCCCACAGTGCTTGTTTTTCCTACAGGTGACTAGCAGCTTTCTCCACTAAAGACTAAATACCTCTTTGTATGCTGTAAATCATTCTAAATCATTGTAAAGTCTCTTAAGTTAACCAGATGTTTGTCTTTCAGTGCTTTCTCTAAAAAAGGTTCCTTGGTATTATATCTTTGTGTGATTTTTTTTTTTTTAACATTGCCATTGAAAGTTGAAAATACTTGCATGGTTTCCCCTCTGAATTGAGTGTGTTCTAGCGAGCATGCCTAGTGCCACTGAGTGGTAATTATTTAAAATTTTTTCTAGGTCCACATTTTAATAATTATTGGGGTAATAATAATCAGTATTTGTTGGTGTGCTTTTCCATTTATAAGCACTCGTATATTTTACTTAATGTGACCCTCAATAATCTAATGAGGTAAGTAGTGCAAATGTTGGCTCTTTGCAGATAAAGAAAATGAAACCCAGAAGTTTTTAGAACTGCTTCAAGGTTGTTACATATCTAGCAAGGAGAGGGGGTTAACCCTTGAACTCAGATCTGATCTCTAAAGTATCATTTCCTCTATGCCTCAGATTACAGACTAATCAAAATTCACTTACATAGTTTTCATTATAGTTTTATGTTACCCTGGACATCCTGTCTGTATGTACAAAAGGTTTCCCATCCTATGTGGAAGCAATTAATTCTCAAGTTTCCAACAATTTGTATAGAGGTAATATCTCACTCATGCTTTGCATAAATTAATTTCACTCATGTTAAAAGTGTAAGAACCCAGATGTATGTAAAATAATTTAGAGATTGATTATATGATCATACTTAACATGACTGTTTCCTACAGTGGGCAAATAAACATCCTCAAAGGACGCAGCTACAGTCAGTCACCCTTAAAAGCAGGGCAGACACTGTCGTGACACCATCAGCAGTGACCAAAAAGGGCTCATATTTTCTAAGAATGGTTTGTATTAATAATGGCTAATAGTTGTATAGCGAAGGTTATACAAAGTTACCTTACCTCGTATGAAATAAATCTCTGTTTAATTACATTAGTGGCAACAGCTCTTGCATAAGGGCATGTGTTCCCATGAAGGTCCAAGGTACAGCATCTGAATACTGGACTAGGTGTGGCTCCCAGCTTTCCCATTAAGTTTTTCAGGGTCTCCGTTTCTTTATCTGTAAGATGACAGAGCTGCACTAGCTAACTTAAAGAGAGCTCCTCTTACACCACATGAGTCTATAAAATCTGTTGTGTCTGTTGGGTGGAGAGACTGAACAGAAAAGCACCTTAGTAACGTGAAGACAGCAAGGAATTAACACATAATTCACATCAATCTGACTTTCTGTTAGACTCGACACCTAGAAAATTTAACTTCATGGAGTTTGTACAAATACTAGACCTGGAAACTTAAACTCTATAGGCGTCACAGCTTAGACCTCGGGCGTGTCCTCACCACGGCGCGCCAGCAAGCCCGCAGCCTCAGCCCGGCGCAGGGCTGTTGGCGCTCAGCTCCCTGGACGCGTGGACCTGTGTTTGCTGAAGGCGCACGTGGAAGCTTACCCGAGTTACTGCTTAGCCCGTGGCGCCCACTCCTTTGGAGCTTGGTGAGGAAGAGGAGTAGAAAGGCCCACTAGCACAGTGGAGAAATAGTTTTTTGCTTTTACTTAACTAAGGGAAGCCTCTCAGGACAAGAACACTCCAACGTGGGAACAGGAACCCCGCCTCGGGAGCTCACGTGCGGGCGTGCGCAGCCTTGCAAGTTTCCCGTAAGTCTACACTGACAGAGGTGGCCTGTGTCTGGCCAGTAGCCACGTCCCACATCTACCTGCGTGTCAGTGTTTTCATATATCATAATAAAGTGTCCACAAAGACCCGAGGCTTCACACTTAGGAAACCTAAGTGTGCTTAGGAACATCTGAGCCCAGAGGGGGTCCTGGGAACAGAGAAGAACTGCAAGACGCTGATCTAAAGTAATTATGCTTAGAAGTGAGTTGATTTCAAGATGCAGTGCTCACAGGCCCCTCTGCCCCAGCAGTTTGACCGAGACAAGCAGCTCTCAGAGTGTTTTGAGTTCCCCCAGTTCCCAGCTGATTACTTGCAGTTCTTTATGCTTCAAGGAAAATAATGGAAAACCTGAGAAATGCCTTATGGTGTGATAGGAAAGGGGTTATTTTGAGTTTCTGCCCGTGGATTGACTGTATAGCTCTCTGGTGGGTCTGGCCAGCCTAGTAACGGCACTAGGAGACGGGGCTTTGAGGCTGGAAGGAGCGATTGTCCGCTGTTCAGCTGAAGTTCAGTGATCACAAGCTTTGGGGGTGTAGGTTAATCGAGGTGTTATTTTATAACGCTTTGAATTGACATGGAATGAGTCTATGGGGTAAAAACCATGAGCCGTGAACTTCGGTAGTAAATGTCCATTTTAGAAGCTTTCCTTCTTTCTAGCAGACAGCCTGCGTACTTTTACGTGACTGCCGGAGGTTTAAAGGGATCTGTTTCAAAAAGTTGCATGTTTTGATGCAATTTGGGGAACTTGTTTACTTTACAAATACAGATTCATAAGAAAAAAATTCGTGAGAATACTGAAGATAAACATGTTTGAGGATTTTCCTAATTGCAATAAATCTTCAGCATTTTTCTAATGAAAATGATTTTGTTTACAAGTAGAAGTATGCGTTTTAAAAGACTTTCAGATTTACGCTTTTTTTATGCAAAGCTGCTGAACTAAAAGAAAATGGATGAAACCAAGCCTAGTGAACTTGATCTTTTCTTTCTTTTCCTTTTCTTTCTTTTGGTGGGGTGGTTGGGGGGGCGGTTAATCACGTCTGTTGTCTTCTCCAGGGACTGTGTGCTCCTGTGCTAGACTGTAAGCTCTTTGAGGGCAGTCTTGTCGGATTTATCTTTGTACCTTCCCCAGCGCCTAGCAGAGTGCTCTGCACATAATAGGCGCCCAATAAACACTGATGACGAATGAAGTCATTGTCTTTGTAATGTGGCCAGACCATGGGGGCAGCTTTGCTGTGAACACTCTCGTCCTTTGTAAGGTCTGCCCTTTGGTTCTTGAGCTCCTCTTGGTGACCTCAGATCAGACTCTTTCTCCCTTGCGAGCCCAGCCGGGCGGCGCCCAGTCCAGGCGGCGCTGCTCTCATTCCCGGTGCCAAGACTGTTCTCCCGGCCCCGGGCCTCTGATGGTAAGAGCCGAGGGTTAGCGACTGGGGTGTATAAATTGCTTTGCTCTAAAATAACACTAGACCGTCACAACACAGACCTGAGTTTTAAAAATCTCAAGATGCCTGTTGAGCTCATGAAGAAATGGGTCAGAACACACAGCTGGCTCCGTGTGACAGCAGGGTGCCGGCGTCTCCCAGCTTCGTGGGCACAGGAGCTGGCCTGGGTCACTGCCGCAACTCACCTGGCTCCTTGGGCTACGCCTGAACCTACTGAGTTGTGGGAATTCAACTTTTTCGACTGCTCAAACGAGTGTTTACCAGTGAACTCAGACAACCAAATCAATTGGAATGTCCCTTCAAAAAAATAGATAAGTTGAATTTAGAGGGTTTTGTTTTTTTTTTTAACCATGTGTGTGTTAAGCGGGATGCTCAAGAGGTCAGCTGGATTTCGTTTCTGTTGTCTCGGAACCTGCGCAGCTCTGTTAGACTCTGGCCCCGAGACACTTTCACTGCTTTGCCCCTTCTTTTCAGGTGAGACAAAGCGAGACGGGGTTGAGCAGGCTGTTACCCGTGGGTTATCCCTGCAGGAGGACAGCGATCCCGGCAGCAGGGCCGCCCGAGTCCATCTGAAAAGCCCTCAGAGCTCCAGGTAGCTTCTCAGCTGGGCCTTTCCTTCCCCCATGAGAACAGCAAGGAGGCGTCTCCTTGGACTATGTGTGGTTCATGCACATCCCACTGGTGTATCTGTTGAGGATGCTGGAAATAGACATCTGGGAGTTGAAAGCTCAAGGGGGTGATGAGACATTTGAGACAGAAGAGCCTCTTCATCTTTCTCCCACGGACGCCACTGCTGTGGCCCTGAGCCCACTGCCCTGCCTGTGCCGCTGGGAAGGGCTGTGATCAGCTGCTACATTAAGTGAGTACAGAGGGTGGGAAGGAACCTTGGGCTGAGTAGGGAGAAGGAAGGAGGGCTCTGAGGCATTACCCGGGCCCCGAGACCAAGGCTTCCTGAACCGGGAAGGCACTGGGTCCGCTAGCAACCTTCCCAAGTTCCGAGGCTTCTCCCTGATTCGTTTAAGCCGGGCCGTCTGAGCGCTGCCGCCTCTGCCGCTGCTTTTACGACGCCCCCGGCTGTTGTAACACTGCGGGGACAAGCAGGGACCATCCGTGCGCCACCTGGGAGTCGTGCGTGCTTGCTTCTAAGCCTGCAAATGCCGCTCTGCCAGGAGAGGCTGGCTGCTACCCGACCTGCTCTCAGCCCAACATCTGAGAGCCCAATAAAAACCCTGAATCACACTAACTGCTGTCATAAATAACATCAAATTGCAGTAGGTCAAGAACCGGAGAGCTCATTTCCTGACCTGGGAAGAAGCTGATGTGGTGTTCAGGCAGCTGAAGGACCCAGGTGCCTTTCATGTTAGGAGCCATCCCAGGGCTCTCAGTCCCCTTCAGGCTGGGTGATCAGGGTCGGGAAAAAGTGGGGAAGTCTCACTTGCTTAGCTGGGTAGGCCCAGAGGTGCCATGCGCCACCAGGTCATATTCCAGGGGTGAGAACCAACTGCACGGCCCTGCATGGGAGCAGGGGCACCTGCAGTTGGGCAGTCACTTCTCAGAAACAGCCACCGGGTGGGTGGGAAGAGGGATCTTGGTGCACAGCCGGTCCTCTCTCACCTTTTGCTCCCCAGCTCCCCCCCCCTTCCGCTACATCCCAGCAGGGGCCGACCTGCTGATTTTGGGAGCATTTCATACAATTTTTCTGCATCTCATCTGTAACGGTGGTATTAAGGATCTTCTGGAGGTGAGCATGTTAGATTTTAAGAGTTAAGTTTTAAAGCATTTCTCAGGCATTCAAGTTACCTGACAAATCTCATCTTCTAGTCAAGTCCTCCAGAACTTAGAGCAATTCTGTCCTTCTTACGTTTGAACAAAGGGGTCCCCGATGCTGTCCTGGTCCTGTCTCCTTTCCTGGCCGCTGCTCTTTGCATCACTTGGCGCAGCTCAGGTTTG